CGCTGACAGCCGGCCCCGAGCACAAAGGGGACGCCCCGGGGCCACCGGGGCCGCCCCACCCCCGGCCCCATCGCGGCCGTGCGGCCCCGGAGGCGGCGGGAGCAGCCGGGCACCCCCGGGCACCGCACGGGGCCGAGGCCACCCCGTGGCCGTGTCCCCCGTGTGCCCTGCGGTGTCCGTGTCCCCCGGGCGTCAGCGGCCATCCCGTGCCCTGTCCCCCCGGTGTCCGTGTCCCACCGGTATCCTTGTCCCCCCCCCGTCTGATCCCCCCCCGGTGTCCGTGTCCCCCGGGTGTCACGCCCCGCCCTCCCGTCCCGCCGCCGCTCCCGGTGCCGTGTGCCCGTGTCCTTGTCCCCACACGCTTTGTGGTCACTCGTGTCCGGCGGGGCTCCCTCCCCCATCCCCGCAGCTCCGGTGCCGCGTCCCGCAGCCCGGGAGCGGCGGGGGGGTCCCGGCGGGCGCCGCCGGGGGTGGCGGGGCCGCGCTCCAGGGCTGTCCCCTCGCGCTCCGGGGCTGTCCCCTCGCGTTCCCGGGGCTGTCCCCTCGCGCTCCCGGCGCTCCGGGTCCCGTGGCCGCCGTGCGAGGCCCGGGCCGTGCCAGGGGAGCCGTCCCGGGTCATTTCCCGAGCCCCGCGCCCGCCGCCGGGGGTCCCGCGGGGGGGGCCCGAGTTGGTGGTGACTTTGAAACGCCCTTCCCCGCCCGTGCCCGGCCCGGGGACTTTGGGGAGGGGGGGACACCGCCCACGGGGACAAAAGAGCCCGAAAGTCGCGGCCGGGAGTGCGGGAGCCACCGGCGGGACGGGACGGCCCCGGGGGCTGCGGCGGTTCCGGGAGGCTCCGGGGGGGCCGGGACTTTTTTCCCCGCCGTCCCCGTCACGGGAAGCCGCGGCCGTTATCGCCCGGTTTATGAGAACCGGTTCGCGCCGGCCGCTCGGGCTCCCCCCGCCCGCCGAGCCCCGGGGCCGCCATTGGCGGCTGCGAGCACCGAAAGCGGCGAAATCCGCCCCAAAATGCAGCCGAGGCTGCCCGGTGCCCCGCGGGGCTGCCCGGTCCCGGGAGGGGGGGGACGGGGACAGGGCACCGCGGGACCCCCGACACGGGGAGGGGCTGGCAGGACCCCCCCTCCATCCCCTGGGGCTGGGGGCAGCACCCGGGGGGGCTGGGAGGGGTTTTGGGGCTCCCCAACCCCCCCGGGGCTCCTGAGCCCCCCTTGGCTGCTGCCCCTGCAGCACAGCACTGTCCCCATCCCAGTGCCAGCGGTGTCCCTGTCCCTGTGGTGTCCCCATCCCAGCAGTGTCCCCATCCCAGTGCCAGCGGTGTCCCCATCCCAATCCCAGCAGTGTCCCCATCCCTGTGGCACCTCCATCCCCATCCCAATGGTGTCCCTGTCCCTGTGGCACCCCAGTCCCAGTCCCAGTGACATCCTGTCTCTGCAACATCCCAGCAGTGTCCCCATCCCTGGTCCGGGTGTCCCTATGCATGTGTACTGTAGCCCATATGTGTCCCTGCATGTCACACGTGTGTCTGTGCATGTCCCTGCATGTTACATGTGTGTCCCTGTGTCCCTGTCTGTGTCCCTGAGTGTCACACGTGTCCCTGCGTTTCACACGTGTGTCACTGTGTGTCCCTCTCTGTGTTCCTGTGCGTCACACGTGTGTCGCTGTGTGTCCCTCTCTGTGTCCCCGTGTGTCACACGCGTGTCCCCGCGGCCATGCGGTGCCACCGCATGGTGCCCCGGCCCTGCCGCCGTGCCCCGCTCATCTCCACGACCCCGGGGCTCCTCGTCGCCTGTCGCCTGGCCTCGGGTGGCAGCGACAATATCCCGGCTGCTCTCCAAGTGTCGGGGTTGCCATGGAAACAACGAAACTGCGGCGATCCCGCTGGAACCGGGGAGGCGGCGGCTCCCGGTGCCACCCGCGCCCGCCGTGCCCACCGGGCCCCGCTGAGTGTCCCTGCCCCGGGGGAGGTGCCCGACACCGGGCTTGGGGATTTTCTGCAGGAAAACCCATGGAATTTTGGCTGGAAATGCCTTTTCCGTGGAACCAACTCAAAATGCACTTTTTTGGGGGAGGGTGTGTACGCACGGCCGCAGGTGGGAGTTTGTCACTTCTCAGAGGTGTCCCAGCGGGTTGGGGACCCAGCTGGGGACACCCAGGGCCAACCGGGGGTGAGGCAGAGGGGGCTGGGCGGCTCCTGGAGCCGGGGGTGGCGGCAGGGCCGGCAGTGACAAGTGACAGTCCCCACCGTGTCTCCTCCAGCGGTCCCTGCGGGTGCCGCCCGAGGGGAGCGCGGGGGTTTCCCGCAGGCAGGATCCGCCCGGGGTCTGCTCCAAGATGCACAGGACCACCCGGATAAAGATCACGGAGCTGAACCCACACCTGATGTGCGCCCTCTGCGGCGGCTACTTCATCGACGCCACCACCATCGTGGAGTGCCTGCACTCCTGTGAGTGTCCCGGTGTCCCCAAGGGTCCCCTGGGTGCCCCAAAACCCCACAGTGACCCCTCCCACAGTGCCCACCCTGTGCCCGGCCGTGCTGCCCCATGGAGCTGCGGGGGGCTGCACTGGGCGGGGGTCTTGTCCCCAAGCTGGTGTGGGGGTCCCAGGGGCTCTGTCCCCTTGTCCCCCCACTCACAGAGGGTCCCTCTGTCCCCACAGTCTGTAAAACCTGCATCGTTCATTACCTGGAGACCAACAAGTACTGCCCCATGTGCGATGTGCAGGTGCACAAAACCCGGCCCCTGCTCAGCATCCGGTGAGCCCGGGGGGCTCCTCTGGGGGGCTCGGGGGGCTTGGGGGGCTCGGGGAGCTCAGGAGGTTTGGGGGGCTTTTGGGAGTTAGGAGTCTCAGGGTTCTGGGAAGCTCAGGGGGTTCAGGGGGCCCCTCACACCCTGTCCCTGCTCCAGAGGACAGCCCCAAGCACCTGGAGCAGGGAGACCCTGGGGCTCTGCTGCCAGCCCAGGAGCAGCCCCATCCTGGTCCCAGGGGTGTCCCCATCCATCCATCCATCCATCCATCCATCCATCCATCCATCCATCCATCCATCCATCCATTCATCCCATGCCTCAGGTGTGGCCCTGGTGGCACTGCCAGGTCCCTACAGGTGACATGGTGTCCGCGTGCAACTCCAGTTCCAGGGAAATCCATCCCAGCTGTGGAATCGGTTGCCATGGAAACCACGCCAGGCTCCGATCCAGGCTCGGCACGTTTCCATCCTGGGTTTTTTCACCTTTTCCCTCTTTCTGTAGTAACAATTTTTCTGCCCTTTTCCCCCTTTTTTCCCCATTTTTTTCTGGCTCACTATGAAATATTTACACTCCCACGTCTCCTCCGGAATCTCCGGCTCTGCCCACGGGAATGGAGCTGCCGCTGTCCCCGAGCCCTGCGGGGTGGTGGCACCTCCACATGGTCCCAACGTGGGGAAAAATGTGGGGAAAACTGGGAAAACCATGGGGAAAAACTGGGGAAACTGGGGAAAACCTGGAAAAACTTGGAGATTTGAGGCTTTGGGATAAGGAATTGGGGATTTGGGATGGGGAACTGGGGATTTCGGGATTTGGGATGGAGGACTGGAGATTTGAGGTTTTGGATGGGGAATTAGGAATTTGGGGTTTGGGATGGGAATTTTCCAGAGGGGAGCTGGGGGAAGCAGAGGCCCAACTGTTCCCAAATCCTGCTGATTTCTCCCACTTTTCCTGTTTTCCCCCCTCCAGGTCGGACAAAACTCTCCAGGACATCGTGTACAAGCTGGTCCCGGGGCTTTTCAAAGGTGCAGCCAAGGATGGGGAGAATTTGGGAATTTGGGAATTTGTAACTCACTCCCATCCCCCTGAACTCCTGGGATCTTCCCAGGGATTTCCCATTCCCACGGGCACAGCAGGACACACGGATACTGCACTCATCCCAAACTTTGGGACAATCCTGGAGTAGGAGCTGTGGATTTGCTCCAAGTACCTCGGGAGTGGAGAAAAGTTCGGGATTTGGGGTGTGGGGACCCAAAATCCCTCAGGATTGGGCACAACTCTGGGATTTATGGGATGGGTCCTGCGGGAGCTCCCACGGGAATTCCCTGGGCATTCTGGGGTGTCCCCTGTGCCTTCTTGTTGTCACCCCCCGGCTGTGGCACTGTCCCCACTCATGACCCTGTCCCGTCCCCATCCCTGTCCCTGTCCCCATCCCCACAGATGAGATGAAGAGGAGGCGAGACTTCTATGCTGCGTACCCGGTGGCCGAGGGTGAGTGTCACACGTCACAGGGTCACAATATCAGTGTCACTGTGAATGTCATACTGCCAGTGTCGGTGTCACAGTGTCAGTGTCACACTGTCAGTGTCAGTGTCCCAGTGTCAGTGTCCCAGTGTCGGTGTCACAGTGTCAGTGTCCCAGTGTTGGTGTCACAGTGTAAGTGTCACACTGACAGTGTCAGTGTCACAGTGTCAGTGTCCCACTGTCAGTGTCACAGGGTCAGCCAGTGTCAGTGTCCCAGTGTCGGTGTCACAGTGTCAGTGTCAGTGTCCCAGTGTCAGTGTCCCAGTGTCCCAGTGTCACACTGTCAGTGTCAGTGTCCCAGTGTCAGTACCAGTGTCCCAGCCTACTCCCTCCCCCAGCCCTGTCCCTGTCCCTGTCCCGCAGTTCCCCTGGGCTCGCAGGAGGAGCGTGGCGAGGTGGCCGAGCGGGACCAGGGCGCGGGGCCTGAGGACGAGATCGTCAGTCTGTCCATCGAGTTCCACCGGGACTGCAGGTATGGCGGCTCCGGTACCGCCCGGGGTCCCGGTACCACCAGGGCTTCGGGTACAGCCCGAGGATGGGGATGTCCCTGGTGCCTGGAGCAGCATTCCAGAGGGATCCAGGGCGATCCAAAGCCCTGGCAATGCCCACAGATGTGCCGGGGTGAAGCCCTGGGTGTCCCTCCATGGGCCCTTCTTGGGGTTTTTCCCTCTCCTCCTTTCCCCAATCCCTGTCCTGTGTGCCTCCCCAGGGAGGAGCAGAAAGGTGCTGTGGAGAACGGGGACCTGGACAAGGACAAGGTGAGCAAGGGTGGCACCGCGGTGGCACTGTGGTGGCACAGAGCCCTCAGTGCTCAGCTGCCTTGGGGGGGTCCTGTGGGGCACAGGGGGGCACCCCAAACCTGGGACTCCCCAAACCCAGGATACCCCAAATCCTGGACTCCCCAGACCCAGGACATCCCAAACCCAGGTCACCCCAAACCCAAAGCGGGGTGCCCCCAAAGCCGGGTGCCCCCAAAGCCGTCCCTCCCCAGGCGCCGCCGTGCCCACCCAGCCCCGGGCTGCGGTTCCTGCGCTGCCCCGCGGCCATGACCGTGCTGCACCTGGCCAAGTTCCTGCGCAACAAGATGGACGTGCCCAGCAAGTACCGGGTGAGCCGCGCTCGGGAACATTACGGAATGTCTGGGTGGGAATGGTCGGGAATGGTCAGGAATGTTCAGGAATGTTTGGGAAAGCCCGGGGGGCGCTGCCCGGGTTCTGCTGTGCTCAGCTCAGCTCGGAGGGGCCGTTTTGGCCGTCCCATGTTGCATTCACTGCTGATCCCTGCTTGTCCCAAATATTCCTGCTGGGCTGTCCCTTCCCTGGGGCTGAGGCCTTCCTTTTCCCATGGCCAGATCCATCCTTCTCCTGAGTCTGGATCCATCCTTTCCTGGGGTTTGGATCCCTCCTTTCCTGGGGTTTCGATCCCTCCTTTCCTGGGGGTTGGATCCCTCCTTTCCCAGGGTTTGGATCCCTCCTTTCCCAGGGTTTGGATCCCTCCTTTCCCATCTCCAGGTGGAGGTGCTGTACGAGGACGAGCCCCTGAAGGAATATTACACCCTGATGGACATCGCCTACATCTACCCCTGGAGCAGGGTGAGGAAACAGGGAAACTGGGAATATCTGGGCTGGGAATACTGGGAAATTTGTCCTGGGGAAAGTGGGAATATCTGTGCTGGGAGAAACTGGGAAAATCTGTTTTTGGGGGGGATAAAACAGGGAATATCTGTCCTGGAAAAATCTGTCCTCGGGGAAAAGTGGGAAAATCAGTTCTGGGGGAGCTTTTCCCGTAACAAATCCCAGAGTGGGGGGATTTTCCTGACAGGGGCGTTTGCTCCAGGTGGGATTTTTGGGTTCCCCCGTGGGAGGGGGCGGCAGTGCCGGTGTCCCCGGGGGATGGGTGGTGGCAGTGCCGGTGTCCCCGCGCGCTGCCAGCCATGCCCCGTGTCCCCAGACCGGTCCCCTGGCACTCAAGTACCGCGTCCAGCCCTCCTGCAAGCGGCTCAGGCTGTGCCCGGCGCTGCCCTCCGAGGGCACCAACACCAGCGGCGCCTCCGAGTGCGAGTCGGGCAGCGACAAAGCGCAGAGCCCCGGGCTGGCATCGCCCCCCGCCCTGCCCGGCCCCGGCCACGGCCCCCCCGGGGCTGCCCTCAACGGCTCCGCCTCGAACTGTCACCCACTGCCACCCAGCTGCCACCCGCTGCCACCCGCCCGCGGCCGCAAAACCACCCTGAACAGCAGCGCGGGCTCGGCCCTGAGCTAAAAACCTCCGGGGGCTGCTGGAAACCCTCCTGGTATCAGAAAAATCTTCCTGGGACTCCGGAAAATCCTTCTGGGACTCTGGAAAGTCATCCTGGGGCTCAGAAGACCCTCATGGGACTCCAAAATTCTTCCTGGGACTCCGGAAAATCTTCCTGGGACTCCAAAAAATCTTCCTGGGACTCCTGCAGACCTTCTAGAGACTCCTGCAACCCCTCCAGGGACTGAAAAACCCTGCAAGGGCTGCTAAAAATCCTCCTGGAACTCCTGCAGACCCTCCAGGGACTGCTCAAAACCCTCCTGGGATTCCTAAAACCCCTCCAGGGATTCCTGAAGCCCCTTGCAGACCTCTATAAATGTGGGTGTGTACATAGGGACAGAGCAGAGTTCTACAGAATTATTTTCTAATTTAAAAACGCGGAGAAGACGCAGAAATGGCGGCGGATATTTTTAAATGTGCTTTGCGTTGGTTTTGGGTGGGTTTTTGTTTGGTTTTGGGGTTTTTTTGGGGAGGTTTGAGGTCTGGGTTTGATTCATGGAAGCTGCAGCCCCCCCTCATCCTGCCCCTGGAGCTCGGAGCTGCCAGATCCCCAAATTCCCACATTCCCAGATTTCAACATTCCCATGTTCCCAAATTCCCGCATTCCCAAATTCATAAATTCCCTAATTCCTGCATTCCCCCATTCCCGCATTCCCACTTTTCCCAGAGGTTTTTCCCTGTCCTCCTCCTCCTCCTCCTCCTCCTCCTCCCTCCCCACCAGGGCCGTGGCCGCACAGGTCAGGGCCAAGCACAGAACCCAAAACCCCAAAAACCCCCAAAACCCAAAAAATCCCAAAATCCCCCAAACCCCAAAACTCTCTTTAGCCTCCCTGAGCTCTGCTCTATGGTTTTATTTCCGATTTTGGGGGGGGGTTGTTTTTTTTCTGGGGATTCACATTCCAGCCCAGAGCTGCCAGCTCCAGCAGCTCCAGCTGTTCCTGGATCTCATCCTGGGTGTTTTTTGGGGTATTTCTTTGCGTTCCCTGTGGGCTCTGCCCTTCTGCACAGTAAATTTGGGGGTTTTGGAGGGCATTTTCCTCCAGCTTGGTAGCAGCAGCACAAATTCCCTGGAATATTTTCTCTTCCCAAGGTCCTGACGGCTCCAGGGAAGTTTGGGGGCATCCAAAAGTTGGGATGGAGCTGCTCCCCACTTCTCATGATCCCAATTTTTTTTTATTTTTGGTGTCTTGCCCTTCCCAGCCTCTCCTGCCGCCCTCACGGTGCATTTGGAATAAAAGAAAATAATAATCAAAGTCAGATTTCGGTGCCTTTGGCCAGGAGGCTCCAGAGAGGGGCAAGCGTGGGAAAGGAGCAAATTTCTGCAGGGAATGAAACAATTCCTCTATGGAATTCAACAATTCCTGTGTCCAACCACTGCCCAGCCTGGGCAGGGGCATGATTTGGGTTCAGATTTGGGTTTGGGTTCGAGGGTGTTTTGGTGTCGGGTTTTCCTCTCAGTACATCCCAGACCCCTCCGTGTGTTCAGATCCCGTTTATTGTCCTGGGAATGATCCCAGTCTCTGGGAATGATCCTGATCTTTGGGAATAATCCTGATCTCCAGGGCTCGTCCTCGGTTCAACCTCTGCAAACCTCAGGTCCGGCTTTGGAAATGAACAAACGCCACAGGAGTGGCTGCCCAGAGCATCCTGAGAGATCCCACAGAGCCCAAATCCCACAGAGCCTCCTGAGACATCCCACAAAGCCTCCTGCCAAACCCCACAGAGCCTCCTGCCAAACCCCACATCCTGCAGGTCCCTTCATCCCAAACCCCACAGCTCCCACAGGCCCCTCCATCCCAAACCCCACAGGTGCCCCACCCCAGGGCTCTCACACCCCCAGGTCCCTCCCACCAATCCCATTATCCAGAGGCTGATTTGGGGCCCCTCCCACCAATCCCATAATCCAGAGGCTGATTTGGGATCCCTCCCACCAATCCCATTATCCAGAGGTTGATTTGGGATCCCTCCCACCAATCCCACTGTCGAGAGGCTGATTTGGGGTTCCTCCCACCAATCCCATAATCCAGAGGCTGATTTGGGATCCCTCCCACCAATCCCATTATCCAGAGTCTGATTTGGGGTCCCTCCCGCCAACCCCACTGTCCAGAGGCTGATTTGGGGTCAGGAGGTGAATCCCTGCAGCCGGGCGGCTCCTGGTGCTCCGGCATTGGGATTTCCTTGGGGTTTGCAGCCCGTCCTCCCACCATGCGGCCGTGCCGGGGTCAGGACGGGCGTCCCGGTGCTGCCGGGCTCAGGACGGGGGCAGCGGCGCCGCCTGCACCTCGCGGCCCCGGTGGGAGCCGTCGCAGTACGGGGGGCTGCGGGTGCGCTTGCAGCCGCAGAGCAGCGCGGGGCCGCTGCGGGAGGGGGTGAAGCGCAGCGAGGACAGCCCCGGCGCCTCCTTCTTGTGGGAGCCATCACAGAAGGGCTGCGGACAAACCGGGACGGTGTCAAGGAGGGGTTTGGGGGTGGCTGGATGCTGCCCCGGGGCTGCAGTGACCATCCCACCCCACCCCATCCCACAGATCCCACTGATCCCATTGATCCCATCACACAGATCGCATCCCATCCCACTGCTCCCATCCCACTGATCCCATTGATCCCATCCCACTGATCCCATTGATCCCATCCCATTGATCCCATCCCACAGATCCCATCCCATCCCATTGATCCCATCTCATTGATCCCATCCCATCCCATCCCATCCCATCCCATCCCATCCCATCCCATCCCATCGATCCCACCCCATCGATCCCACTGATCCCATTGATCCCATCCCATCCCATTGATCCCATCCCAGGGCAGCGCATCCCTCGGGAATTGGAGCACCCAGGAGAGCAAAACCCCAAAAGCGCCCCAAAACCTCTGGGGGGTTCCTGTGGGGCTGCTCCTGCCCTGGCCCCATCGGCATCCGCGCACATCCCAATTCGGGGGCTGGGGGTGCTCCGGAGCCCCCGGACCCTACAGAGCTCCCCGGGGATTCCCAGATCCCCTGGAGCCCCCCGGGAGCCACTGCAGACCCAGGAACCCCCAGAACCTCCCGGGACCCCCCGTTCTCCCGGACCCCCCGGTTGTCCCGGTCCCCCGGCCCGACCTGGCGCTTGCTGTGCCCGCAGGCGCACCAGCCGTACGTCTTCCCCGCCTGCAGCTCCACCGGGAACGGCTCCTTGGCGGCGATCACCGGCTGCGGGGCCGGCGCGGAGCAGAGCGACGGGACCCGCGCCCCGCCCGAGGGGTCCCGGCAGCGGCGGCCGCCCCCCGCCGCCCTCATCAGCGGAACGAGCGCGGCCGGTCTGGGCCGCAGCATGCTCCCGGTGCCGCTCCCGGTGCCGCTCCCGGTGACCTTCCCCGCACGGCTCCTCCTCCCGGCGCCGCCGGAAGAGCCGGGCGGGCTCGGCGGGAGCGCGGCTGCTCCGTGCGGGGCCGGGCCGGGCCCGCTCCTGGCGAGGGGTCCCGGGGCTCGGTACCGGCCCCGTCACCCGGCCCCGGTCCCGCTGCTCGATCTCAGTGCCGGGTCCCAGTGCCGGTCCCAGTGCCGGTGCCGGTCCCGGTGCCGGTCCCAGTGCCGGGTCCGGGTCCCAGTGCCGGGTCCCAGTGCCGTTGCCGGTCCCGGTGCCGGTCCCAGTGCCGGTGCCGGGTCCCGCTCCCAGTCATGGTGCCCGATCCCGCTCCGGTTCTCTCTCCCAGTGAGCGATCCTGGTCCCCATTCCCAGCGCTGGTCCCGGTCCCGGTGCTCCATCCCAGTGCCGGTCCCGGCTCCCGATCCCGGTCCCAGTCACGATTCCCGATCCCACTGCACGGTCCCGGTGCCACTCCCAGTGCCCCGCTCCCGGCCCAGTGCTCGATCCCAGTGCAGGGTCCCAGTTCCCAGTCCCGGTTCTGGCTCCCGGTCCCAGTTGCCATTCCCAGTTCCCATTCCCAGTGCCCACTGCCCCACATCCCAGTCTCTCCTGATCCCGGTGCCGCTCCCTTTCCCAGGCACAACACCTGGCTCAGGAGCACGTCCCCCCTTCTCCGTGCCTCAGTTTCCCCCCTGGAGCTCCCCGGGCCTTCAGCATCGGCCCTGGGAATTCCAGGAATCCTGGCTGGGAGAGCTTTTCCAGTGGGAATTCTTGGAATCCTGGCTGTGAGAACTTTTCCAGTGGGAATTCTCGGAATCCTGGCTGGGAGTGGCTTTTCCCATGGCTCCAAACCCGATTTTGGGCAGGAAAGGGGCCAAAGCAGGGGCAGCATGAGCCAGTGGATTTGAGGCTTCCAGGGAATAAATCTTTGGAAAAAAGGAGGATTCAGGAGCTGCTCACCAGCACAGCAGGAGGATTTGGGATTTAATGGGGGCCATCATTGGGGTTTTTTTTGGGAAAACCCTCCTTTTCCCAGTCATTCCCACCTCCTGCATCCTGGGACCATCCCTGGCTTGGGATTCCTCCACACATTCCCAGCACCGGGCAGGGAATTCCCATTCCCATTTAAATTTGCCCCCCTTATCTTTATTAAAAACCTCCTCACAATTAATATTAATATTATTTATTAAAGACCAGTCAAGCAGCGTGAAAAAAATATATCTTAGCTACATTACCTTAAATTGCCAAAAATATACACATTTTTCTCTTTCATTTAATATTTAAAAAACAAAAACAAAACCAAAAAACAAAACTAAAACCAAATAAAATAAAGAAAAAACCACAAAAGGACACATGCAACGATCCTAAATGAGAGCATCAAAACGGGTAAAGAAACCTACCCCAGTGCAACTGAAACACGGATCATCTTTAGCTTTTCCTTTTTCTCCTTTCTCTTCCCCCTGCTCTCCCATTTTCTTTTTCCCACAGGGATTCACCTGGAATTTCCCAGCTCTCTCTCCTAGCTCTGCCCAAGGGACATTTGGGGTGGCTGGAGGTGACAATTCCTGGGGTTGGGAGCCTTTGGAAGGTTGGGCACAGGGAGAAGTGTAAGTGCTTTCTGTCTGTGATCCCAAATCCTGGAATTCCTGGGGAGCCGGAGGGATCCACCTCTGGGAATTCCTGGATCCAGCTCTGGGAATTCCCGGAGATCCAGAGGGATCCAACTCCCCTGGTTGTGATCCTGCCTAAAAACTCCCAAATTCCAGGATTTCCTTCCTCTTCCAAAGCCTGGGCTCCCCAGCATTCCCGCAGGAGCCAATTCCAGCATTTCCAGCCTCTGGATTCACCCCGAAGTGCCTCTCACTGACCCCTTTGGTGTCCTGGGCTTGTCCAGGGATTTGGGCACCGACCCCAAATCGGGGGCGATCCCAACACGGATTTTGGGTTTCCTGGGGGATCAATTCCCTTCCCAGCCCCTCTCCCTGCTCCTTGCACCTTCCAGATCCCCAGGAATTTTGGATTTTAGAAGCATTGGGACATTTGGGCACAACTTTGGGGTCTTTGGGGTTGCAAATGGGGCAGGAGGCCATGGGCAGCACTGCAGGGATTTGGGATTTGCGATAAAAAGCAAAAAATACAATAAAATACAATAAAATACAATACAATAAAATAAAATAAAATAAAATAAAATAAACCCCAACTCCTGGCCACACCCAGCTGGCAGAGCCCACTGCCCATCCTCCCTCTGGCTCAAAGCCGGGATTTGGCTGTTCCCAAATCCCAAGGATCTGCGGGATGACAGGCGTAGCCACCCCACACCAAAACAGGCTGGGGACAGCCCCGAAATTCCGCATTTTAGCCCAAATTTGGGACTAAATTTTCTTTCACCATCGCTGCCAAGCCTGAGGCTTCTCAGGAGGGAGTTGGGGGTGACCCCTGGGGTCGCTGTGCCAGGGGTGTCCCCGTGCCAGGAGGATTTTGGGTGGCACCTCCAGGGGTGCCAAGGGAGGGGGAAGACCTAGCTTGGGGTGGGGGGAAAAAGAGAAAAATCCAAAGGAATTTCAAAGTGCAAGAAGGGAATTGTGCCGGAGCGGGTTTGGGGACGGGGATCCCAAAGGATGGGGCTCCCCAACAGCTTCCTAAGCTCGTTATAACTTCTGGATAGATAAATCCCATTATATATTTAATATATATTTCTATTTCTGAGCAGCCAGCAGCTCTGCCCAGTTCAGAGCTCCAAGCTGGGAGCAGAAAGGGTTTGGTATTATTTTTTTCTCTGTTTTTTTTTTTTTTTAGACAACCTTCATGGTGTGAATTTTAGAAAAAAAAAAAAAAAACAAATAAAATAAAATAAAATAAGTGTTAAAAAAAGGAAATTCAGTGGAGGATTTTTGCCAGCACGATCAGCGCAGCCCCACTGCTGATAACGGGAATAGTGCAAAGCAGGAAGGGCAGTGGGGATGTGCTGAACACGGCTCAAAGGTCCCAAAATTTGGGATTTGGGGCTCTCCCAAAGGAGTTTCCGTCAGCTGGAGCATTCCCAGGAGCTCCGGATGTACCCAGGGATGAGGGAAGGAGGGGCATTGGTGCGTTTGGTGCTGGTGGTCCCCTTCCCAGAGCTGCCTGACTGTCCTTCCTTCCATCCTTCCTTCCATCCATCCATCCATCCATCCATCCATCCATCCATCCATCCATCCCAGCTCAGAGGAAGTCGATTCCCAGTGGATATTCCAGGCTGAAGATGGAATCAAGGTCAAAAGGTGGAGAGCGATGGAAGTTCTGCCATCCTGGGCTCAGGACTGGGGTCACTGTCCCATTCCTTGGAGATCCCTCTTCCCAGGACCAGTGGAGGAACGTGGTTTTGTGGGAATGATCTGTGGTGGGCGGGAAAACGCAGGGACCGGATTGGGAATTCTCCTCCCCACAAAGATTTTCATCTCCAAACTCAGTTCCAGGAATCCTCTCCCAGGCCCAGGAGCTCCTTCTGACGTTGGACAACCCCGGCTGTGGCCCCTTTTCTAGCTGAGATATCGGCCTTTGGGAATTCTGGGAGGGAAGGACAGCGCCACCCCTCCGGCAGCTGGCACAGGTGACAACGTCCTCCCAGGTGGTGCCACCTCTGTCCATCCTCATCCATCTGTCCTTCCAGGCTGGATCAGCCTCCAGTTGGAGCAAAGCCCAGTGGGAAAAGCAGGGAGACCTTAGCCTGGGAATTCTTCTGGGTGTCCCCACCTGGGCACGGCTACCATGTCCTCCCCTGGCAGTGCCACATCCACTGCTGGCTCTGGGGACACTGCCAGGTGCCACCATGTCCCTTCTCCAACAGTGCCACATCCAGGGCCGCATCCTTGGGCACTGCCCAAGTGCCACCACGTCATCCCCTGGCAGTGCCACACCCAGGGTCACATTCTTGGCCACCTCCAGGTGCCACCACGTCCTCCCCTGGCAGTGCCACACCCAGGGTCACATCCTTGGCCACCTCCAGGTGCCACCACTTCCTTCCCCAAGGCTCTGGGGGGTCTCTGGTGCCCCGGGGGCTCCCCACGCTCCCGGCAGGATCCTCTGGAGTTCCCTCCGGCACGCGGAGCAGGGGACAGGTGATGCCACCCTCGCTCCTGGTGGCACCGGGGCCTGGTGACGCCGCTGTGGCTCCCAAGGCTCCTCCTGGGCCGCTCCCGGGAGCGCCGGTGCGCGGGGAAGCCGCGGTCCCCAGGAGAGGATTGGCTGCGGGCTGGGGGCCGGGGGGCTCCTAGCCCTTGTCCTGCGCCAGGGGAGCGCCCTTGTCACCCAGGGGCTGCGGGGACAAACGGGGACACGGCTGGATCAGGGGGGACACGGACTGCGGGGACGGGAACTGGGGGGATGGGGATTGATTGGGGGGACTGGGACTGGGGGACAAGGACCGGAGGAGGAAGGAATTGCGTCCTTCCCCAGCTGTCCCCAGCTGTCCTCAGGCTGTGCCCAGACTACCCCCACGCTGTCCCCAGCCTGTCCCCACCCTGTCCCCATCCCACCCCAGCCCGTCCCAGCCTGTCCCAGCCTGTCCCCAGCCGTGCCAGCCCCGTACCCACCGTTCCCTTTGGAGTGCCTCCGTCGGGCTGCAGGCTCAGGAAGGGGTTGGGGGCCATGGCCGGCCCCGAGCCCAGCGGGGGGGTGGCCTGGGGGGCCAGCAGGGCCCCGCCGGGGTTCAGCTGCTGCGGGGACAGCGAGGCCAGCAGGGAGCCACCGCTGGGCGCGGCCGAGGTCAGCAGCGCGCTGGGGCTGGGGTGCAGCGGGGCCGAGGTGGCGGCCAGCAGGGACAGCTGGGACGAGCCCGACATCTGCAGCCGCTGCAGCTCCCGTTTCTGCTGGATCTGCTGCATCATCTGGAACACCAGCGCCTGCTGCTCCTGCAGGAACGGCCGGGACATGGCTCAGAGCGGGGACAAAAACGGGACAGAGCGGGGACAATGCCCTCAGCAGAGGGGACAGAGTGGGGACAGAGAGGGGACAGAGCAGGGACAATGCCCTCAGCTGGAGGGGA